GGGCGCGGCCAGACCCGACTAATCCAGCCCCGAGGCAGCGGCCCTGCGGGCGGGGGCTGGGTCCCGGGGCAGCACACGCAGGGCGTGGGGCGGCTGCGACCAGGGCGGTCATGTCCGACCCACTCCGTTCTCACACCGACCAGTTTATACCAGGCTTGCACCCCAATGTGCACAGGTGGAAACCGAGTCCGAGAGCAGCTGGTACGGAAGGAACCGGTCCAGGTCGCGGCTGTGAGACTGGGCTGAGCTGCAAGCCCCGCCTCCTTAGGTCCCACTGCCTGTGAAACGCAGGCACAGCGGTTCAGTGCTGGGCTGGCATGGACGGCCAGAGCTCCTGGGCCCTAGCCAGGAGGCCTGGTGCGGAGAGCAAGTGCCAGTCAGTCAGTCGGAGGGAGCCCACTCTGGATGTGGCCAGAAAGAGGCCGAGCGCCTAGTGGAACGTGGGGGCCACAGGAGGAACCCTGGTGCTCAGTACAGCCCTGACACACAGCAGGGGAGATAGGTCCTGGGGCATGGGAGAGAGGGTGTAGCCTTGGAGACGAGCCCCCACGGCAGGCTGCACAGTCAGGCCACCTCTGATGGGGCTCCAGGGACCCCATTGCTAGAGCCCAGGCTTGGGGAGGGGCTGGCTGCTTCTATTTCTGGGCTTGAACTGGGGCTGGCCATGGGCAGTGCAGCTACTGAGGCTGTGGGCCAGCTCCAAGTGTCCCTCACCATGGACACAGCAGCTGAACATACAGAGCATCTCCAAGGACAGAGCAGGACGGGGGGGCCAGGGGCGGCTTGGGGGCCAGGGGCCAGGCTGGGGCCACCCGTAGCCTTTTTGTTGTTTGTGAAAACACTCTTAATCCCACTCCGTGTCCCACGACAACAGCAGAGCTTAGGCACCACATGCTGTGTGCTGTTAGTGTCGTCACACTGTCCCGGTATCCACCCTATGCTGTAACACTACAGGGCTCAGAGGGACCCAGTGGTGGTCACTTCTGTCTGGGAGGCCCATGGAGAGGCCTGCAAGGAGATCATATGGATGATGAGCCCAGCAGGACACCTGTCCCCGTTCCCCACTCCCAGGAGCATCCTTGGAGGTACCAGGAGGTGCTTCTGGCAGGGGAATGCTGGGTAGGGTGGCAGAGCCAACTCCTGGTGGAGTGCGGTGGGGGAGCAGGATTTAGGACTGAGAGGCAGCTGTCTGGCAAAGGCACCAGGCACTCAGAAGAGCAGCTGGGGCTTGAGTGCCCCTGGTCTGAGGCCCCTGCCCCCCATACCCCATGCCGGAGGGGGCTGCTCATCATCAATGCTGCCTCGGTCTCGGCCGCCCCTCAGCCGCCCCTCGGCACTCAGACCTTGCAGTCTGGATCCTGGCTGCTGTACGAGCACCTCCCTATGAGACTCACTGCCCCTCGGGCTTGGAGTGAGATCAGACTTGACAAACCGGGGCTGCCCTGTCCTTAACTCTGTTTAGGAAGGGACATGGCTGTGGTGTGAAAGATTTAATGAGGGTGGAGATCTAAAAGGAAGTGGAGGGGTAGGTCATGAGGAGAGAGGCATGCGGCCAAGGGGGAGCACACGTTATTAAGCACCAGGCTTCGAAACCAAATATCTGTAACCTGTTCAGGGACTTAATGGCGGTTTTCAGAGACACATTCATCTGCAGCTTAGGATTCAACAACCCATATTATAACTGCATCTGTCATCATGACAGTAGGAGGGGTGAGGCACTGCCGCCGGGGTTCCTGGAAGGACGCTGTGTCCGCCCACAGCGTGTCTGGGGCACGGGGAGCAGGCCACAGCCCAGAACTACAGTCACCCAACCTGGGCACTACTGTGCTGTGTGGTCCGCAAGCGTCACAGGGCACCAGGTCACATGACATGTGGGGGTGGACTGGTGGTCCTCACCACCCGGCTCTGCGGACGACTGTCATGCTAGGGTGTGGCCTCACCACAGGCCGGGGCTGGGACTCCTCACGAGCCTGGGCCGGAAGAGCTGGTGCCTGGAGCAGGAGGGAGGGGCGTGGGGAGGGGTGCACGAGCATCAGTGGCTAACCCACTGCAGAGAAGCAGGAGCTGGAGAGACCAACGCACTCACTACTGTGCAGACCGGGCAGATACCTGACCTTCTCAGACACCCTAAGGCACCGGTCTCCCCAGTTACGCAAACCTACACACTCATTAGGAGCTCTGGTAGCATAGTGCCTAAGGCACTTGACTGCTAACCAGAAGGCTGGCGGTTCAAACCCACCAGCCATTCCTTGGAAGGAAGGTTGGGCAATCTACTTCCACAGTGACACTGCCTCAGAAACCCAAGGAGGGGTCACTATGAGTCGGGTCCAACTCGACGGCACATAACAACAACAACAACAACACACACTCACTACTGTGCAGAGCAGGCAGACACCTGGACCTTCTCAGACATCCTAAGGCTCCAGTCTCCCCAAATTACCCAAACCAAACCCACTGCCAAGGAGCTGATTCCAACGCACAGCACCCCTAGAGGACAGAGTGGAACTGGCCCAGGGGTGTCCAAGGCTACCCTCTTTACAGAAACAGACTGCTCCATCTTTCTCACGTGGAGCAGCCCATGGGTTCAAACTGCCGACCTCCTGGTTAGCAGCCAAATGCTTTAACCACTATGCAACTAGAGCTCCTTCTTGCCTCACTGTTGCCCCAGAAAAGCAAATTCCATGTAACTAAGCCACTGGGGAGGAGTTCTGGTGGCGTAGTACTTAAGGGATTTGACTGCCAACCAGAAGGCTGGCAGTTCAAACCCCCCCCCCAGCCACTCCTCGGAAGGAAGGTTGGGCAATCTACTTCCATAGAGATACCGCCTCAGAATCCCAAGGAGGGGTCACTATGAGTTGGAATTGATTTGACGGCAGTGAGTTTGTTTGTTTTTGTTAAGCCATTGGGGAAAGTGTGGACCTCGTCCCGCTGGGGATTTCAGACTCCCTGAAAAACCCAGCTGGTGGGGTGTGACGGAGAAGAGAGAAGAACCGACAGGGCCCAACCCAAGGGGCTTCCACACACCCTCTGCCCACCCACCTGGTGGCTGAGAGGAGAGGGACCTGGTGGTTCATGTAGTGAACAGAATGGGGGCTCTCAAGACATGCCTACCCACAGCCTGCAAATGGCATCTGCCACGGAAACAGGTCTCTGGAGCTATCATTCTCCACGGACCACTGGTCCTTCTGAAAAGGCCAGGTGAGCACCCAGGGAGAAGGTGTGGACAGGGAGAACACCATGTGACGACAGGGCAGAGAGGAGAGTGGTGCATCCCCGAGCCCAGCAACAGGAAGGATGGCTGGTCGCCGCCAGAAGGTGGGCCAGGCACAGAGCACCTCAGAGCTCCTGTAGGGAGTCCACCCTGCCAACACCTAGGCCTCGTGGCCTCCAGGACTGTGCAAGGGGAAATGTTTTCTGCCCCAGGGAGTTACTGCATAGCTGGTAGGAATCAAGCTGCCCTCTGCTCTGTTTCTGGGAACGGCACACGGTGGCAGCCATCACCTCCTTTCGTTGAATCTTAAATAACGGCAAGAAGTCCCCTGCCAGTGCCCCACTGTGCTCTGAGCCGCCAGTGCCCACGGCTCACCTGCCCGCAGGCCACCCTATGTTCAGGGGCTCTAGGAGTGGCCAAGATCACAGGTTGGGGGCCGACCGCCCCAGTATCAGCTGAGCCCAAGGTCCTGACTGCCCGGCCACCTGCCGTGAGAAGCAACCTGCTAAGGTCCTGACTGCTCGGCCACCTGCTGTGAGAAGCAAACCTGCTAACAGGAGGCCTCGAAGATGCTGAGATCTGGTTCCACTCACTCATTTACAAAAGTGTTGGGATGCGTATTTAGTGCCTGTTAAATTGTATTATGGCTGCATCTGATGACCATCATCGATTGTATTAATGTGAACACACCCGTTAAACCACATACTGAAAGGGCCTCTTGTGTGGAATTCTGCTCTGTTCTGGAGGCATGTGCTGTGTGCCAGGACTCAGGCCAGGAGCCCCTTCTGCGCTCTTGGTGGGCCCAGCTAGGAGGGCCCCTCCCTGGTAAGCTTGTCCTGAGGGCTAACGTGTCTTCCCTGGCGGAGTGATGGTTTCCTGGGGCCCTCAGGGCTAGAGAAGCTGTCTGAGGCAGCATGTGTGTGTGGGAGCATGGGTGTGTGTGTACACCAGTGTGAGTTTGTGAGTGAGGGTGTGTTTGTGAGTGTATGTAAGCCTTTGTGCGTGCTGTGTGTGCATGTGCACGTGTGCACAGTATGTGCCTGAGGCTGAAGACCCTCCCTCTTGTAAGAGGGTGTGTGAATGTGCAGTGTGTACCTGAGGCCCTAAGGACCCTGCCTCACGTGTGTGCGCACGTGTACAGTGTGTGCTTGAGGTCGAGGACCCTCTTGCATGTGAGCGCGTGCATGTGAGCGTGTGCACGGTGTTTGCCTGAGGCCCTAAGGACCCTCCCTCATGTGTGTGTGCACATGTGCCGTGTGTGCTTGAGGTCGAGGACCCTCTTTCGTGTGAGTATGTGCATATGTGTGTGCCTGAGGCCATGAACCCTCTTGGGTGAGCATGTGTGCATGTGCACAGTGTGTGCCCGAGGCCCCAAGGCCCCTCCCTCATGGTGTGTGGGCGTGTGCACATGGGCGTGTGCAGTGTGCCTGATGGTCCAGGACCCTCTCTCACGTGGACCTGCTCCACGGGTTGTGCACAGATGTGTCCAACTCCCTGCTCGCTGCACGTGTGTCACCGCGGGTGCTACTGCTCATGCCCGGGGCTTCTCCCTCAGGAGGGTTCACTACCCTCGCCCCTCCTGCACCTGCCTTTCAGATGCTGGGTCCAAGTGAGCAAGCAGAGGGCTGCTGGTCCCATAGCCTCTGGGCCTCAGGTCAACAGCTGGTCTCAGCCATGTGTGCACCCCAGTGCAGGGACCCCCGCGCATATGGGGCACTCCCACCACGGCCCCAAGTTTCAGCACCGGGATGCCCTCCAGGGCTGTCTAGCCGCTAGGTGCCTCAGCAGAAGGGCCCCGGGTTTATGAGCAGCCAGCGCACTCTGGCACTGCTCCCGGGCCGCACCCCCAGAGCATTCTCCCAGCAAATTGGTTTTAAATTAAAGGTGGTGCTGCAACCACATGCGTGGGCAGCTTCCCCAGGCACACCTGATCTAATGTCATTAAGGAGACAGGATGGACGTGGCTCCTGTCAATTTCAAAGACCCTTCAGTCTGTCAGAGCGGGGGCTGCTGGGGGCGGAGAAAGGGCCACTCCCCAAAGTCCTGCACGGTCCCCAGAGGAAGGGGGCCCACCCACCCAAGGGGCAGCCATGCCCCTGCCGGCCCTCACCCTGTGCACAAGGCAGCTTGTTGTGTTCTTTCTTAAAGGCGCCCCCCTGCCCAACACCTCCCATGGTCCAGATACAAGGCACATATGCACGGCCCCCCCAAGCCCCTGGGCTCCTTCACAGGCCCCCCGCTCCCCTCAGGCCTGGGCCTGTGCCTAACCTCCCTTCCCGATGTCTGTTTAGAGTGTCCGGAGAGCTCTAGGCACAGCCCGGAGGCAGCTCAGTCAGGACAGGTTTCCGCCGGTGCTCACACCCTGCCTTGTCCTGAGTGTCCATGATGGTGGACACGGGGCAGGCTGTGCACCGTGCACCTCACCCACTTCCGCTGCCGGGGTCCCATTGTCTACACCGGCAGGTACACAGTGGGCGCTCGGTGCTAGGTGAGAGCCGGCAGCCGCCCCCTCTGCCCGGTGTATGCCCTGGCCATAGATGTGGGCTTCGCCTGAATGGCCCAGCTCTGGGGAAGGAGCCAGCTCTCAGGGTGGCATTCCTGGGCTAAAGGTCACATGACTACACCCAGCTGTGGTCAGGAGACCATCTGTCCATAGCCCTGTCCCACTCCTTGAGGCCACACCCCACCCTGGGAGCCACCCCACAGTGCAGGGCTGGGGCAGAGACAGGTAGGGGACCCCAGAGAAGGGTGGCTTACCTTGTCATCCACATCGCTCTCACTGTCACACTGGGGGGACACAGAGAGAGAGACAGAGTCAGAACCACCTTACTACCTGCCACACTACCCATCCCATGGCATCGAGGGGTCACCCAGCCTGGGGTCCAGACATCACGGGCCTGGACAGAGGGGCCCAGCAGGAGATACATCCCAGCCTTTGGAGCCCATTCCCACGGTCTGATCTTGGTCAAGGCCCCAGAGTCTGTCGGATATCCAAAGAGAGACAAAGCCAGGGGTCCCCACCTGTTCAACAGGTAGATGTGGCCTCAGATGTAGCAGGGAAGGCACCTCACCTGCCTAAGGAGGTCATGCAGCCCGGAGTCTGGGCTTGTCTGACATCGCCCCAGCACAGAACACACATGGGGTCTCAGAGTGAGACGTGAGTCACCTCACCTGGGGTCAGCTGGAGCCCCCCCTCACCTGGGGTCAGTCTGGAGCCCCCCTCACCCTGGGGTCAGCCCAAAGTGCCCCCCATCCACAGGGTCAGCCCAGAGTGTCCCCTGGCCCCAGGCTTAGCCTGGAGCGCTCCCATCCCCAGGGCAAGAGAGGTCCCACGTGATAGGGGGAGTCACGTCACCCTGCAACCCAGGGTGGGGTTCGGCACAGTCCACGGACTTGGGAAGAGCAAGGGCAGAAGCACCAGGCTGACTGGGGCTCAGACTCCCCTTTCCTGGGTCCAAACCCGAGCAGAGGCCCTGGCCCCGCAAAATGAAGACACCACGCCAGAGGAGGGGCCCCAAGGGCCCAGGTCTGGGACTCGCTGGAGGCAGGTGTGGGGGAGGGGCACCGGGTGCTGGTGGCCCTGCAGACCGAGAAGCGCCCAGCCATGCTCTGCCACTTGAGTCTGCCGGGGACCTCGCCGGCTCCCGGCTGATGAAAATGGTTCTGATCGGGAAAACTCGCCGTTTTCCGTTTCCAGTAAGCAGAACTTTAAAAAGAACAGACTGCCCCAGAAGTCAGGCAACTTCCCCCTAAAAGAATGAAAATAATCCCTCCCTAGCAACGGCAATTATGATACACTCCCGTCAAGTGAGTTACACTGCACAGAGCGAATCCTGTAGGGGCGGCCGCCCAGTCACACACACGTTGTCGGTTTTATGCGCTGTATTCTACTCTGATTAATACAGGCAATCAAATGACACGGCCTTCCTCCGTGCTCCCAAACTGCAAGCTGTCATGCTGTCAATGACAAAGGTCACGGAGCTGAGTGAAGATGTGCCGCATGCTTCTGATTTCGTGACAGGTGTCGTGGTAGGGGGATGCCTGGGCTGGGACCCCAGCAGCCCGAGGGGCCCACCTGTCCCCCAAGCCCTCTGTCACACTCATCATCAGGCCAGACTTGAGACCACCATGCGGGCCTGCTCTGAATGGCAGGAGGGGCATGTGAGCAGGCCCTGGGGCAGCCCCTTCCCAGGGGCCCCTGCTCAGCTGATGGTGGCTGGCGCCTGGGGGAGACCCCACCTGTGTGGATCACGGGTGCTGCCTCAGGCCTCACCGGAATACTTAACGGGGCTCTGCCGTGGAAAGCACCCCTGTGGTGTGTCTTTGTGACCACCCACCCTGACAGCCTCAGGGCAGGGCCCAGCCTCCTCTGGGAGATGGGCACCTGGGGGGCTGGCCCATGGTCTCTGTGGACAGGTTAGTCTTCAGTCCAGGAAGGGGCACCCATGGGCAGGCCTCAGGCCCCTCGAGGTGAGAGGAGAGGAAACAAAGACAGGGGTTGGTGGGCAGAGGAGGGCACAGGTTGCAGGCGCAGGGTCAGCCCGGCCACTGCAGATGGTCAGGGTTCCGAGGGGGCGATGCTGGGCTGGGGGGGGGGCTGGCTCAGGACAGAGTTGGGGGAGGGAAGGAGCGCTGTGAGGAACCAGGGGCTGCCTGCTGGGGTGGGGCAGAGGGTGGAGGCAGGAGGGGAGCACAGAAGGAAGGTAATGTGGGCCGAGTGGGAGGGGTGAGGCTGGAGAGCAGCGGAACTGGAATAAGCCAGAGCACGTGACCTGTGACCTTGGACTGAAGCTCAGGGAGGCAGGAAGCCATGACCAGGCTGAAGGACAGTGGGGGTGTGGCTGGCGTTTGGGACAAGGGGGCGGTGAGAGCAGGGAGGGGGCCTGGAAGAGCAGTGCCCCAGCCTGCCAGAGGCCCCGGGGGTCAGGCAGAGGACGCCCTGCTGGGCCGGCCTGCTGCATCTCACTAGCTTCGTCAGCACTGCAAAGACCAAGAGTTCGAAATGGCATTTCCCAGTGCACTGTCCAGGCATGGTGGGGGGCCAGTGTGTGCGACCCACCTGCCTTCGGCCACGCCCCCTCCCACCACCTGCCTCAGTGAGATGTGGGACCTGGCCCGACCGTGCTGTGCTCTGGACTGGCATCCACCAAAGGAGTGCGGTGGGGGTGTTGGGTTTACCCAAACACAGGACGTGGAGGAGGCGCCCTGTCATTAACTGCACAGCAGAAGATGGGTGCGCACCAACACATCCCATCGTTAAGTCCTGCAGATTCGATGTCTAACTTCTACGGGTCTGGGATTGAACATGGCTATGAATCGGGAGTAGAGAGGAGACGTCTATCCTGTGGCAGGGGCTGGTGCTAGGCAGCAGTTCCCCATGGAGGATGCATTGGTGGCTACGTTCCCACTACCCAGATAATCCCAGCCAGGCACCGGGTGCCTCTCCTCATTTGGGGAACAGCCTCATGGCATTCGGGAAGTACAGACTCTTAGGTCTCAGGGTGACCTTTGGCGAGTCACCTGAGCTCTCTGCCTCAGCTTTCTCATCTATAGAGAAGAGAGTAGTCCTCTACCTGAGAACTGTTTTAGGGTCAAGTGAGTCAGTATGTGTAGAGTGGCTGGAATAGGACCTGGTCAAAGTAAGGCTCAGTAAATGTTCGCTGTCATTGTCATCACTGTCACTGTAAGCAACATCATTAAAATCATCACCACCATCATCAGAAACGCCATCAGCACCATCACCGTTATCATCATCACCACCACCACCACCACCACCACCACCATCACCATCACCACCACCATCACCTTTATCATCACCACCACCACCACCATCAGCAGCAGCACCATCACCATCAACACCACCATCACCACCACCACCACTACCCACCATCACCACCACTATGGTAGTTAAATTTGTATGTCAATTTGGCTGGGCCTGTTTGAGTGGCTGGGCAGCTGGTGGTAGTTATTCCCCATGATGAGACTGGCAATCAACTCCATGGTGGGATCTACCACAAGCAGCTGAGTAGCTGCCTTT